CCATTCTCGGCTCTGCTCACTGACTTGGACACGTCTCTGTGTTCGGCCAGCTGTCTGTCCAGCGGTCGCAGCACCGCCGGTTTCACCTGGACGTCCTCACCTGCATCAGGAGCCGCCGCCTGCTCCACCTGACGCGCAGAGAGAAGAGAGCTGGACTGTGATTGGCCGCCTGCCGTCAGGTGAGTGGACTGCTCGGCCAGTGAGGAGAACCTACCTGCTGCTGCCTGAGCTGCAGGTGAGTGTAGCTCCACAGAGGGACGTGATTGGTTGCAGACAGCAAGGTGGTCAGCACCTGGTTCACTGCAGTCTGACACACACACACACACACACACACACACACAGCAACACAACACAGAAACAGACACACAAACACAGTGAGCCTGCTGTGAGTGATCAACAGCAACAAAAACCACCACAAACACTAAGCAACCACAAAGAGACACAAAACCACCACAAAGAGACACAAAACCACCACAAAGAGACACTAAACAACCACAAAGAGACACTAAACAACCACAAAGAGACACTAAACCACCACAAAGAGACACTAAACCACCACAAAGAGACACTAAACCACCACAAAGAGACACTAAACCACCACAAAGAGACACAAACAGACACAAAACCACCACAAAGAGACAGCAACAGGTGGCCCAAAGCGGGGCAGGTGCTGCAGGTGAGGTGGACGAGGCGTGCTGCTACCTGCAGCTGCTCCAGGCTGGGATTCGGCTCCACGCCGCCGCTGCACCGGCGGACGGAGGCTCTGAGCAGAGGGCCAGGAGCAGAGAGCCGCCTGGTCAGGGCCTCCAGGCTGCGTCTGACGGCTGCACAGAGCACAGACGAGCAACGTAACACGAAGGAAGCGACAATGTGGCAGCAGGACGCCAGACATAACAAACCAGTAGAATATTAAATGTACAGTAAGACCTTTGGCCATCTGTAGTTTATGAGCATAAATATCTTTGAAATAATGACGATGTGAGTAAACTGATATTTTTTATGTGATTTTAATTTAAAAAGCATCTTTAATTTAATATAACAGGAAAAATCTGTAAAATAACATCTAAAAATTACATTTATTTGATCATAATTATACATGTTTTTCTTTTAACGTCGGTAAAATAACAATATTTTGTTGATTTTATAACTGCTATAAAACACAGATTCATCATGTGGACATTATTTACAGTTTAGCCTGATATTTTCTTTATTTAAATTTATATTTTTTGATAGCTAGCAGGTCTGTTATTGCTTTTTTTCTGTGGTTTTACTGGATGTTTTGCCTGTTTTGGCACATTTCCATCGTTTTACTTCTTCTCCGTCACACCGCGGTTCCTTCACGTCCGTCCCGAAACATTTTGCAGCACTTTGTAGAAGTCGGTGGCTTCACCGTGTCACTGCTGTTACGTCATACCTCCAAATCTGAGCAGAAACAGACGCTAAGGTCTGCGTGGACATAAAACTGACTGTGGACAAATGAAATGGATTCCCTATGTGGGCCGGGAGGCCGGAGGAGGCGGGAGGAGGCGGGAGGAGGCGGGAGCCACAGCCCACCTGTGAGCAGCGCCTCGGCGTTCCGGTGACACAGGTGACCAATCAGGTTGTAGAAGCGACAGGGAAGACAGGCCAGGCAGCGGCTCTTGTGTCTGGAGTCTGGATGGAGACACTGGAAGGACCCCTGAGGACGAGACCAGAGGTTTAACGGTGGAGTCGCGGCGCCGACTCGGCTCGGTTGTCTGGGTGGCGTCACCGTTACCTGCAGGCTAACGGCGTCCGTCGCCTTCATCTTCCTCTTCAGCTCGTCGACCAGCTCAAACACCAGCATCTCCACCTGCTGACTCTGCCTGAACACCAACAGCCCTGGTCAGTATCGCTTCAGCACCATCCAACCTGCACTACCTCACAGTAATCAGATTACTCCTACAGCAGAGTATTGTCTCTGATGACAGATTACAAACCACCAGTTCAGGTTCAGAGACTGACTTCAGGCTCCACAGCAGGAACTCAGCTGGACTCAGCTCGGTTCTTTGAGTTTCTGCTCTGGAGCCTGGACTTTAAACAAAGTGTTTGTTTTTGACTGTTCAGCTTGTAAATGTGTGATTTGAACGTCGGTACGACCGGCTCAGGGCGGCGGCGGCGGCCCGCACTGATCCGTCCGTCTGCTGCAGCAGCTCCTCAGCTGAGACAGGTGAGTCTTCAGGCAGCAGCAGCAGGCGGCAGGACGACATGGACTGGAGCAGGCGAGCGATGCGACAGTCCAGCAGGTCCGTGGCCATTTTGGCAACCTGGTCCAGTTCTGTGAGAGCCGCGTACACGCCGTCTATGACTGGACGGGACAGACAGCAGAACGTCGAGCTATTCCTGGATGCTGGTTCATTCCAGCGTCTCTTTAGGTCAACACGGGTTTCATACATCCTGCAACAGCAAATGTAGCAGCGTGTGCTTGGTTCTGACTCACAAGCGTCGGTGCTGAGAGCGGTCCAGGACAGCGTGGTGAGTCCAGGGGAGAGCGCCGCCTCCACCCGGCTGATGAAGGGCTGCAGGACAGGGACCAGGAGGGCAGGGATGCTGGCCAGCACCGAGCTGTAGTCCTGGAGCAGCTGGAGCAGCCTGCAACAGCAGAAACACAACGTCAGCACAACGTCAGCACAACGTCAGCACAACGCCAACACAACGTCAGCACAATGTCAGCACAACGCCAACACAACG